TTTAAATGTTGTTTGTTTCAGCTTGCTTTCTCTCCATCTCCTCGTACACCAAACGAGCCAATCCCAGTACAGAACAACCAGCAGCTGACTTTAAAGGTGGAGGGGGTGGTGCAGCACGGTTCCTCTCCAGGCATGTTCCGCAAGATTCAGGCCGTCTGCCTCAAAGTCAGCTCTACTTTACAGACAAAACCAGGATCCGACTTCAAGGTCAGTTCAACCCAGAATCCAAAACATTTTACTCACATTGTTGATCACCCAGTGATATTTTTCCAGCAGTAATGAAGGATTCATTTGTGTCCTTTTTGCAATTTTTGTTTAGATTCCTCTTGATTCCAAGACCAATGAGATTGAGCAGAAGGTGGAGCCTCATAATGATTACTTCAGCACACAGTTCCTGCTCAACTTCTCCATCCTGGGCACTCACGTCGTCTCTGTTGAAGCCTCGGTTGTAGATACCAGTGGGATCGAATGGAAGACGGGACCGAAAACCACCGTATCAGTCAAGTCTCTGGAAGACCCTTATTCCCAGCAGCTGCGCCATCAGTTACAGCAGCAGCAGACCGGCCCACAGCCGGGACCCCAGAGGAACATCGGTCCCCGCCAGTGACCTCCAACCCTCATCCACCGCGTATCGCCTATACACTGCTGATTGATAAGCTTTCTTATTTGCATTATCTAGTGTTTTGTACGAGTAAACATCTATCTGGTTAATGTTTCCTTGTGTAATAATAAATAGGGCTACATTTTCTTCAGTTGTATACCAGAATAATTCTCTGTGTAAATGCTTAATAAAATTACTAAACTAAAATATGCTTTGCATTTAATGATTTTTGTGTCTCCTTACTTTGTTTCGCTCTGTTATGGTGGATCAGGTCTATATTATAGAAGGATTTCCATCAGAATTAGGTGTGATACTGTAACAGATTTGTATTTTTTTCAGGTACAAATTAGTCTATTATTTTCTGTGGTAAATATATTAAATACTTATACAGGGCTGGATTTTTTTTATCTTGGGTAAAATTGTGACAAATGCTAATGTCAACAAAAGTATTGATTAAATAAAAATTATATAAAATACTTTTACAGTTGGATCTTGATTACATTTCTACTTAAGTTCGATAATTAAGTTTCTAAGCATTATCGAACAAAGATATCTGTTGCCTTTTTCATCCACTCTTTTCCAGACATAACAGCTATGCTTGAGTATTAGTTGCATACTAATTGCAATTAAAAGGAAATTTATAATAGTTTAATTTTATATTAAATTCAGTTCGTTTAACTTATGAGTGATTTTGACCCACTTAAGTAGGACTTAAGTCCATCTAAAAAATATGTGATACAATTTGAAGTGAATACACACTGAATACACTTGTGCGCTTCTTTTTCAAAAAGA